TGTATTTTTCTTAGAGGTTGTTGGCTTGATCGGTTTCCTCATGTGACGGACAGCTTCTGCGTGCTTTCACACCTCATTTCTTTTCTTTTTTAATGTTTGCAATAATTAGTTAGTCTTATTAGAGCAGAATATCATATTCCCCCTCCTGGGTATCCCTATAAGCATATTTTTTTTTCTATTTTTTTTTAAGTTGTAGGTAGACAACAATACTTTTATTTTATTTATTTGTTTTTATGTGGTGCTGAGAATTGAACCCAGGACCTCGCACCTGCTACACAGGGGTCCTACCACTGAGCCCCATCCCGAGCCTCCCCGTAACTTTATTCTTAATAAGCAGCTTCACCCACTGGATTGAGTGTGGATGCTCAGTTTGTGGTTATAGCCTCATTGGGGACAGTGACTATGTCTTAATATCATTGTATTCATTTGATATCTGAACTTCCATAATATCAGGGATTTCTCTGCCAAACAACAGAGATAAAAATAAGAGATATTTGCTGTTGGGTTTTAGATCTCTCTAGAAAACAGATTCTCTGGCCCAACTTAGTCATCCTGACTGCAAACTTAACTAACTGGGACTGTCAGTCTGAATCACACATAAGAACGTTCTGTCTGAGAATTTAAAACGACCAGTGTCACACCAGATCCTGTGTTTTAAGTCACATTCACTTGGATTTTCCTCCTACTTCCTTTTTCAACTTTTTCTTTCTCTGTTTCTTCATCTGCCCATCCACCCTTCTCTGTATCCATCTGTCCGTCCATCTATCCATATGTACAGCCATCCTTACATACATTCATCTTTGATTTACTTACCCACCCGTCTGTTCATCCATTTATTCCACAAACTAGTATTAAGAACCTATCAAATGCCGGGTGTGATAGCACACGCCTGTAATCCCAGGGGCTCAGGAGGCTGAGGCAGGAGGACCAAGAGTTCAAAGCCAGCCTCAGCCACTTAGCAAGGCCGTAAGCAACTCAGCAATTAAATGTATAAAAAAAGGGGGCTGGGGATGTGGCTTGGGGGTTATGTGTCCCTGGGTTCAATCCCCAATTACCCTCCCCCCAAAAAAAGAACCTATCAAGTGTCAGGTTTGGTGTGAGGCACTAGAAATGCAATGATAAATAGGATGCTCCATGGTTGTGGTATTGCTCTTTTGAAAGCTCAAAGACAAATAGGGTCTTGATTACTACATTCATTGAAAACGGCTTCTTTGTCAGAGTTCCCCAAAATGTTGTATGCATTCGCTCCATCAGCAAGTGTTTACCGAGTGTCTTCTACTGCCACACTCAGTGCAGGTTTTCAGTGGGAACTGAAATAGGAAATACTGCTTTCATGGAACTGGTGAGAGAAACCACACGAACAGATCTTTACCATGGAAATTGAAGTCTACTGAGAATATATTTTGAGAAGTTAATGTGGCAGAAGTATAACATAGACAAGTATACACCTTACGAAAATCATTCTGCTCTCAGTCACAACAACCAAGTAGTCACAGAAAGTCAGGACAAGATGAAATTCAGTGCTGTGACGGAGCTATGTTATACTTTGGAGTTCCCCAGCAGCCTGAGTGGTATAGGAAACCAGATTATTTACTTACTGTTATTGGATAAAAGAAAGTGTATTAAGGAGACAAATCTTCCTACTTACTGGAGGGGACCCTGGATGGCGGGCAAGGAGATTTCTTCAACTTCTTTCTAGCAAACTTAGCAAGATAAAAATAATAACAGCAGGCCTTTGTTCATGGCACTCCATCTCTTTTTCCTTTAAAGGGATGCTAAAGGAAAACCTGTCCTTGAGACACAAAGACGGTAGAGAACGTGCACATTGAGCCATCCCCACCTGAATCATTCAGTTTTATGAATCCTGCCTTTTTCACTCTCTCCAAGTTGCTGTTCACCCTTCTCTCTACTCCCCCTCGCCCAAGGCCACGTGTCTCACCAGCATGGCCACAGATCCCATCACCGTACCCCAGGGAAGCAGAGAGACTGGTAAATGGGGGATGGCTGAGTAAGTTTACCCACGTAATATTTCCTGGCCTCTCCCCTCCACACAGCTGGCTTCAGGTTCAAGATCTCGGGGAGAGCCCTTTGGCACCCCCTAGAACAAAGACAGTGCATTTTTTTTTCTTTTTTTCTGGTACCAGAGATTGAACCCAGGGGCTCTTACCTACTGAGCCACATCCCCAGCCCTATTTTGTATTTTATTTAGAGACAGGGTCTCCCTGAGTTGCTTAGGACCTCACTTTTGCTGAGGCTGGCCTTGAACTTGCAATCCTCCTCCCTCAGCCTCCTGAGCTGCGGGATCACAGGCGTGTGCCACTGAGCTTGGCATAGTTTTGGATTCTGTTAAAACATGGCATTGGGAAGCAAAGCTTGTGTTCATATCCAGTCAGGGCTTTCGCTCTTCTTCCTGCACTAACTCCTTTCACATGCTTTTTGGGAGAAAGTCATTTAGCTTCGACCCATCAATGATGCCAGAGACCAAAAAAAAAAAAAAAAAAAAAACCAAAACAAACCAACAGGACACAGAGCCGTCCTTTGCTGGGTTTTGGATCTGAGTCTCTGGTTTTCATTCAACCTCCAATGACATTGACC